AAAAAAACATAAAAGGCAAGTCAATGTGCCTGGGGATGGTGGGAACAGACCAGAACAAGCCTCATCAGGTACAAGGCAGCACTTTAGGGTAATGGCCAAAGTAGCTACAAATTATATTAAAGTTCCTCAGTGGCTTCCTATGCTTCCCAAGGAGACTGGTGCAAGACTTCTAGTTCCCTCTGCCAGTCTCTGGCAGACTCAATTATAAAATTAAGAGCCCAAGCACAGGATAAAACACTACTCAGCTTCCTGGTATATGCAGGGGAATCTAACCTTCATCAAAATTAGGCTTCCGTTCACCTCGCTTGTTTGTTTGCTATTTCTCGCAGATGGTGTTAAATGCTTGCAGTTGGGGAAGAGGCAGGAAAATATACCTCTGATAATCTTCACTTAACGTTTCTGAAGAAAACACCAGGCAGGTAAAACAGCTTGAAATGCCTGCCTGCCTGTCGGTCGGTCTGTCTGTCTGAACAGCTTGCCAGCTCCAGCAGAAACCCGGCAGGCCAGTAACACCTTGAAGGCTGGGGTCTCGGGATGGGTGTGAAGACTTCCAGGCCTCGCAGAACCCCAGGGCAGCTGCACGCAGCAGACATGGTTAACACCTGGAGACAGGGCCAGCGGAGGGATTTCCCAGATGACAACATTTATAAATTTCAGGCCTGCCAGAGCAGAGAGCGAGTAGGAAAAGAAAAATAACCACACGCCATGCTTCAGGGGAAGCACGCGTCTGCAGGGCAGAAGACAACAGAATAATCTGTGAGGGCTCCTGGAAACCAGAACTGTCAGAGAGAAGACAACTTTCATGAAAAACAGGGTTCACTTAGTGCATAAAACTTCAGGCAACCAAAAGTCATCATTTTCAAACACCTGCCCACACTCATAAGAAGACGGTCACTTTTGAGAGCTCACCTGCAGTCTAGAAAACGTAAATGGAAGAAGTATCCTAACACAATCAAGCACAGAAAGACATGGTGTACCTTAAAATCCAGTTGTACAGACAGGAACTACTATGGTGGGTTAAGCAGAAAGAAATGTGATCCATGGAAAGGACAGCTTATAGGAGGGAAGCCCCTGGAGCGATGTCCCCTTAGAACTCATTGCCGAGGGACTGTCAGCAGTCGGAAGAAGGGACGATGGCTCCAACACCCACATCCCAGCTGGCGCCCACACAGAGGGTGCCACATGGGCTGTCTCTCAAACCCACTGCCAACAGCCAGTCAATGCGACTGTCACCAATGCCCGGACCGCTGCGTGCAGGCGTGCTGATGCCTCCCGGCCTCCCTCTGCCCCGCACGAATGTTCTAGGCTGATACCCACTGAGTGGGGCGTGGTGAAATAAGGTCTGAGAAACACAGGCTTGCTTTTTCTACATCTAGCATACACAGACGCATACTAGATGGGGTTTAGAGTCATTACCTCGCCTCTGATGGAATGTCTGCCACGACTTTTGTTTGGCAGAATCATCCAGTAATCTGTATTGCACTCATCGACCCTAGGAGATGCACCACTTTTTTCACCATTAAAAATCCTTGAAATCAGGGACGGCGAGATAGCTTGGCAGACTAAGCACCTGCTTAGGGAAGCACAGGGACCAGGGTTTGATCCCCAGCACCACATACCATGCTGGCCCTGCCATCAGGGGTGCTGAGCTCTGGCTTGGTGGTGCATGCCTCTAATCCCAGCGCTGTGGTCCTTGAAACCATGCGGATCACTACAAGTTGCAGCTGTGTAGTGAGAACCTGCACCTACACCGAATACATTATATACACAAAAAATCCTTGAAATCAGTGCTGGTGACCATCCACAGCATTTTAACACTCTCTCTCTCTCTCTCTCTGGCTGTTAATGATTATCAGGATAAAAAGAAAAGGAATAATTGCTGCTGTGAAAACAAGACTGGCTGAGCCTCTTATAGCTGGGAAAGAGCGTTCGTTCTTATTTTTCTATCAAAATGCTCCTACATAGTGCTTGCTCCAGCAGCACATATACTAAGACAGAATCCTCAGATATAGTAATCTCCACATTTTATATTCATAATTTATGAATACAAAACCCCAATGATCAGCGTATCATAGTAGCTGGCAAATCAAATCCCCAACAAAAGAGGAACAGCCTATTCTGAGGTTTAAAAATAGAATTTGAAATGATTTTGAGCTAAGGTATAAGGAATGTTTGGGAAAATAAATAGCATGGGGCAATTTGTCACGTGTTGATTTTTGAGTTTTTATGACACACTCTACATCGGCTGTGAATTAATAAGTAAACATGGTCATATGGGGCACAGCTAATTTAATATGGACAACTGTCATTATTCCATTGCAAGATTTGGATGTGAAAGAAAAGACATATGCACCCCTCCCCCACCAAAAGCAGGCTATTTATGTGTGCTTAAGCAGACCAGGCATATATTTAATATACAGTGAAGAATAATTAAATTTTAGAACTACTGTTTTACCTGTCTTAAAGACTTGCATGTGCCTTTCCACATGGGTTGCTTATGGGTTCTTCTTATGTTCTAAGATGTACATTCTTACAGAGGATTACCCATTTAATGGGTTTTTTGCATGAGTTACATTAGATTCACACTTGACAGCCGCCAGCCTTGCCAAGCTCAGGCAGGCCCTGGGCTCCATGATGTGTACCGGAAGCGGAAGCAGACAGGGCGCCTCTGAGCTTCTGGCTGCACGCCTCCAGAAGGCACCTAATGCGCAAGCGCAAGGTGCTCAGGCCACGCCCTCCCTGTGCAGGAAGTGCTGCACTTTTCCTCTTTCCCATTAACCTGTGCGTGTCCCCTGAATGTTTTTTCACTAAGACCTGGCCCTGAATGTGCTCAACTAACATCTGCCAAATAAACTGTCAAAGTAATGGATTACTAAGGAATAGTCCTGCCAAAAGGTATGTTCCGAGCAGCTTGAAATCCAGAACAGCCTGACTCTGTCTCAGGTCTCAAGTCCATTCCTTTAGGAAGGGAGGCAAAATTCCAAAGTAGCTGGGTTTTGCCTTTGTAGGAAAAAAAAAAAAAATCTTCCTTAAATTTTTAAAAAATGTTTGCTGTGAAACATAGCACATACCTATTAGAAAAGAATAGAGAAACATGTTCAGTCCAACATGTGTATATAAACACTTAGGTAACACTTAGGACCCGAGATATTTTTTTAAAAAAGAATATTGTTAGCACCCCGGAAGTGCCCCTCCCCCCCTCCCTGCCCCAGCTCAGCTCCAGCGTCCAGGCCACCTGCCAGTTCCCTTCCCTACCCTCTCCAGACAACCAAGGTCACCACCTGCCATTTATGGGGAGGATAGTTTTTGTATTGGTGTTATCATTTACATTCAAATCCTTCCAATACATCATTTGGTGTAATTCCTTTAAACAGAGTTATCATGGATCATCACAATAAGGGTACAGTTTAAACTTTTCAAGAATTTCATGTCTAGCTAACTGCTAAGTAAAAGGTATCTTTCCTTATTTACTACAAATCAAGCTGTTTCACCAACAGCTGCCATTTTCTTACCACTAGGAAAGGAACAACAGAGCGCAAACAATCCATAGCAACATGTTTATTTAAGTACAAGCTACACTTTGATTTATAAGCAAATACTTTTAGGGAAAAATCACAAAAGACAATATTTTCCAATATTATACTATCTACATAAAAATTAAACTTGCAGAATTTACAAATTAATATTCTGAGCAGACAGATAAATTATACATCCTTTTGCAAAATCAAATCTACAGCATTGAAAAATTCATACAGGCACAATGCAAGATAGTCTCTCTTTACAGTCTATCTATTTATATAGCATTCCCCACCACAGAGGATAATTCTTGTTGTAGCTACCAAAGTTTGCAAACACAGTGTATTTAAAATATATTTAGCAGCATATAAAAAATTAGACAAAAGGGAAAGGAAATACAACTATTAAATTAAAAAAAAAAAAAAAAACTAAAAGGTGGTGATAGAAACTCCATAGGAAAATAGATCAAGATATCTTTTTGTTAGGACATCAAAAATGTTGGCCATCACAGAAGGTATGCACAGCACTAGTAAAACAAAAGCCCAGTAGCATGTTAGTCCTGAGCACAGAATGTAGCATAACTGCAAACTTTGGTCAATGTGATTAAGTGCCAATTTTTAACACAAACTGTTAAACATTCTGTTAGTGGATTCCAGTCAATGTCGTTTATGAGAAACCAATAATACTCTCATTTTCCATTACATTAAAAGAGCGCTAAAATTTAGAAACATCTTATAGAGTGATACGAATACTTGACAGAGGACCACAATTTGACTAATATTTCCAATACACTTAGATGTGCAAAAGGAGTTCACGGCGAGCCATGTTATACTCCAGGCATTTTCTGTCACAGAAGCAGACACGTTATAATTACAATAATTTGAGGGTGTTTTTTTTTATAGATAGGCACAAAAATCCAGCCACAGTGAAAGTGTGAATCAAGCCATATTTCAATTATAGGATAGATATGTATTGGCAGATATTAAAGTTAAGCACACAGGATAATACAGAGTTTCAGTAGAACATAATTTATCTTTAGCAGCTGGATTGAGATACAGTTTCCAGTTAATCCCACTCATAAGTTTTTGCCTAATAAATACAGGACAACATTTTCCACAAAGAACATACAGAATATTAATCACAGTATTTCGTTTACGGTTTCTCTTCATTCCTGTTTAAGTACTGGCAGTATCTTCCCCAAGGTCCCCTGCGTCAGAGACCTGACCATCTTGTAAGTTCTGAGCCTTCCAAATCCTCACAGTTCGATCACTACAAAACAAAATTAGAACAAGCATATGAACAGAGGCAGAAAAGTAAAGAAACACCTTTTAGAATTATTTTTTAAGAGAAATAAAATAACTAAAAATGATACAGAATTTTAAAACAGGATGACAGGAAGTTAGCAATGGTTATTATACTGCATACTGTCATCTTCAAAGTAGTTGCTCAGATGACCAGAGACAGGCGTGCAAGATGGACCAAACCATATAAACACTATTCCTTTCAATGAATAGAAATTAATACTAGTTGTACTACTAACAGTAGTACAATTATCTTAGCTATCTTACATATGCATTCATCTTTTCATTTCTCCTTTTCTCTCCTCCCCTATCACAGCTATTATTTCCTTTTGAGCAGTTTCTTTCCCTTTTGCAATAACTATTGAACTTTTTGGATCTTATGTGCCCTCTCAATTTCTTGCACTAGGGAGACGAGCTGAGGTTCACACATGTGGGTCTGATTTACTTCATTTACCAGTATGGTCTCTAGTTGCATCCATTTTACCTAATAGCCTTGAGTTTATCATTCCTTACAGCTGAAAAGCACTCCATTGTACAAAAATACCACGACTTTCTTATCTGTTCCTCAGGTGATGAGCATTTGGGTTGTTCCTAAGATTTCTCTATTACATATTCTGTTGCTATAAACATGGGTGCACATATATCATTGTGGTATGATGTTTTCATTTCTTCTGGGAAAATACTCAGCAGGGTAATATCTGGGTCAAATAGGTCCTCTAATCCCAGGATTCTGAGGAATCTCCACACTGATTTCCACAGTGGTTGCACCAGGCCACACTTTTACCAACAGTGTGCAGAAGGGTTACTTTCTCCCCACAGTCCTGTCAGCATTTGTTATTGGTTAATTTTTGATGATAGTCATTCTTTCTGGAGTGAGATGGAATCTCAGGTTTGTTTTAATTTGAATTTCTCAAATGACAAATGATGTGGAACACTTTTCAAATATTTATTTGCCATTTGTATTTCTTCATCCAAGAAGTGTGTATTCATGTCAGATGCCCATTTTCAGATTGGTGCTTTTAATTTGGGGGGGCCTGTTTAATTCTTCATATGTTTTCATTTAAGTCCTTTGTCTAAGGGACAGCTAAGTAAGATTTTTTTTTCCCCCAATTTGTGGGTTTTCTTTTCACTCTGTTGGCGATTTATTTTTATGTGTCAAACTTTTTCAGAAAAAAAAAGAAAAACTTTTTCAGTAAGATGAGATCCCAGTTGTTGATTCTTTGAAGTACTTCCCATGCCGTCTGGTTTTTGTTTATGCACTCTCTGCCTACAACTATGTCTTCCAGATTTCCACCTACTTTCTCTTCCAGTAATTTAGTTTTTCTTTTTTAATACTTAGATCGTTAATCCATTTCGACATTAATTTAGTGCATGGTGATAGTCATGGGTCTAGTTTTAGTGTCCAGCATGTAGAAAGCCAGTTTTACCCATAACACTTATTAAAGAGGCTCTTTCTTTCAGTGGACATGTTGGGCCTCTTTGTCAAAGGTAAGATGGCCGAGTATGTTTTTAGTTGTGTCTTCATCTTCTAATCTGTACCACTGATCTTCAAAAGTCTGTTTTTCTGCCAGTATCATGCTGATTTTATCATAATAGTTTTGTAGTATAATTTCAGGTCAGGGATTGTAATGCTTCCTGCCTTGCCTTTGTTGGCCAGCATTGCCTTTGCTATGTCTCTTCTGGTTCCAGATGAATTTTAGGACTGTTTTCTCTAGATCAGTGAGGTATACTAATGGTACCTTGATTTGAATTGCATTAAATCTGTATAAATGTTTTAAAAAATGGGTTTTTAATGGGCCGGCCTGATAGTTCAGAGAACTAAAGCGCCTGCTCAGGCACAGCACAGCACAGCAGCCAGGGTTCGATTCCCATTGTGCCATGCTGGCCCCACCCTCAGGGTGCACTGAGACTGCAACTGAGACTGGGCGTGGTGCACACGCCTGTAATCCCAGTGCTTGGGAGGCTAAAAACAGGAGAATTACTACAAGTCTGATCTATGTAGTGAGACTCTATAGACCCTATCCCAAATACATTTTTTAAAAATTGGTCTTTAATAAATGTAAGTAAAAACATACACTGCCTCATAAGAATAGCAATCATGTATCCATCATAAGGACAGTAATACTGGCTCATACTCTGTTCCAGGCCTTGCTACTATGTGCCTGTCCCATTAATTTTAATGCATTTAGTTCCCTTTAAGTCCTCTTGGAGACAGGTAGGCTCTGACACACCCACCACCACTTGTTTTCTTTTTTAAACAGTTCCTCACTATATTGTTGCCCTGGTTGGCCTGGAATTCCCAGGATCAAGCAATTATCCCGCCTGAGCCTCCTCAGCAGCTAGGACTATAATGTGCTGTTTACTATTGAGCAAATGGTAGGCTAGATCACAGAATCAGCGGCAGAAATGATATACAAATACAGACAGTGCAACTCCCAATCCCTGTCTCTTAAGCTGGAAGTACACTTGTTAATTTTACAGAGAGTTCTAGGACACTGGACCTGGGGTCCTCAGGCACAGTATCCCAGCATAAGGTCACCATGAGGCACCTGGGAAGGGAGGGGTCAGGCTCAGATTTCCAGGGAATTGGTGAATCTAGTATAGATAGGGAGAACTATTTTAGGTAAAATTAGCAAATAAGCCCACAGAAAAAGCAGGACATGCGGACTAATATGCCTTTTGACATCAAATGTCAAAGATGAAAAGGATTTCTAACAACCTGATGCCCTATAAATGTATCAACTACTATTTATCAATGAGAAATTCAAATACAAAAAAATACAAACTGAAAAAGAAAATAAAAGTTTTTCTAAGACAATTCGTTCCCATTCACCCTGCATGTGGATATCAGGAACAATTATTAGGTAATCATATTTCTTACCCTGTCTCTCCTAGCTTAACAGAAATATTTCTTTTTCCAATTTCATGAATAGCCCAAAGAAAATGAAGGATTTCTGTAGAATTTTATAGATAAACTACCCATTTTATTTATTTGTTGTTTAAAATTAATTGTTTATTGGCATATTTTAGGTACACATAATGACCACAGTCATCATAATGAGTGTGTACCTGTACATGATGCATCCTGATTCTTTTTGTTAACCATTCCCCTCCTCTCCCTTCAATGAATGCCCTTCTTGATTCTTTTTGTTAACCATTCCCCTCCTCTCCCTTCAATGCCCTGCCCTCTCCCTGTTAACAAAGGCTTTGTTTCCATTTTATCCTTCTTTCTTCTTTTTTCCTTCCTTCCCCCCTCACCTCTCCCTGGTTTCCCTTCCCATTTGAAATAGTATGGTTTATATAGGTAAAAAACACATTTATCTAGAGATGAATAAATATTTACCAAAAATAAATGCCTACAAACAAAAATATACGTGAAACACTGGAATAATTTCCTTCAGTGAGAAAGATAAACAATTGGAGAATATAGATCAAATAGAAAGAACTGGCAATATAGCCTAGTGGTAGAGCACTTGCCTAGAATATGTGAGGCCCTGGGTTTGATTCTTAGTACCTCGAGATAAAAGGAGAAAGAAGAACAAACAAATAAATAAATATACATGTGAGATGCTTTGTATATGAGGAATATAATTTTGTGTTTTATAGTTGAGTAAACATAAATGGCTACATTTTCTCTAGAAAGTAAAACCTTGGATCCCCAGTACCAAAATAAAAAAATAAAAACAAAACATATATTAAAGGACTAGACGCCGAAACAGATGATAAATTCAATCAGCAGTACCACATGAGTACAGTTGTTCACAAGCATATTACAAATACATGTAAGACTCCCCTAAGGTTTCCCTGGAATACTTAGCGATGAAAGTGGCAGGGCGCAGGTGAGAAGAAAGTCACACATGGGGCCATCTTTTCTCACCATGGCGACACTGCTGAGTGTGCGTTTCTACGTCCCTAGCCTAGATGCCTACACGTGGAATGGCTGCATCAGTCCTTCTGACAGACCCATTCTCTTTTCCTACTCTACTCCCAAGAGTCTGGAGCAGTGTCCAGCCTGAGTGATTCACTATGAACTAACGAATGAATGAATCGACCAGCCCAGCCACCCAAGAGGAGGAGGAAGCAGATGTTATGCACGTATCCTGTAAAAGAAGGAAGAGGCACAGAGATATTTTTAAGAATTTTGTTAGAAATAGGAAGAATGGCAAATGTGTTGTCTTTCTGAAAACAAAAATCTTTAGCAATTAGTCATCTACGGATTTTTTTTAGATGTTAAAACCATCAAGGGGAGTTGGGGCGGAGCACTGTCTCTCATATGCGGGTTTCTCAATATTTACCACTGATAATAATTACTAACTCTGAATACAGGTAATAGAGCAACATCACATGAGAGAAACTTACTCAGCTGCAGTAAAAATGTGGGTGGAATTAACACACACAGCATTGATGGGACTGTCGTGACCCTTCATCTCTCCAACGGGCACACACGTATCCATGTTCCAGAGTTTCAGAAGGCCCCCTCTGCAGCCACTGAGCAGCACTGGGTGGCCTGGCACCATTCCCAGGGCACAGACCCAGTCCTTATGTGCATTTGGAACTTGCTGGGGAAAAAGACAAAAGACTAAGAAATATCATCTCTCCATGGGAACTTTTAAACCAGACATTTTCATACCAAAGTCAGTTACATTTTCACTGATAAAACACAACATCTGGATGCATACAAATTATACAAGTTCATGTTCCATATAATAAATCAGTGATTTTGAGAAGCAAAACTATAATTTGCTCCCAGTTAGCCTCATTAGTTTCCATCATTGCTATCCACATTAACAGCCTACAAAACTTATAAATCTTTAGAACTGAAAAAATTTACAAAGTATCCAAGATTTTTCAAATATCATATCCTACTCAGGGGCCATAAATAGTTCACCTTTCTTAGGAACATATTTGATAAAATAAATCTGAAAGCTACAATGCATATGTAGACTAGGAGGATTGCCACATAAAATCGTCAGGTTAAACATTTTGCCAGAAAAATATAAATGCCTAAAGGTTTTGTGTTGTCTTTGCAAAATATCAGATATAATCTATGTATTTAATTATAAACAAGCACTACTTACAAGATCATATGATTAGATGTCTGACTATATTTATATGTATAAGATATCGTTACAATCATGAATGTGTATCTGTAAAAGAAAAGCTTTACACTATATGCAACTGTTGCTAAGGCTTTTCTACTATTTATTCTACTTGTTCATTTTCATCTGCTGATTACAAGTAGGAAAGTGGTAGCAACTCAGCGTAAACACGCGTGTCTGCATGAGTATAATAATGTGCAAGGAAAAGCTTGAAACGGTGAATAATTTTATCTGTTAACTCATTGTTTTCCTAGAGAGTTAGTGAAAAACATCAGTATTTACATTTATTGATGCAACATTCAACCCAACTGTCATTCAGTAGGAAATGCACTGCCACTCCTAGACTACATAAAAATGCTCCTACAGATGAGGAATCCTTTGTATTACTCTTGACATCAGCTAAACCTAATAGTCTTTGGAACATGGGTAAATAAAAGAAAAACAAAATGTAAAACTGCAACTGCTCTCCTCCAAGGCTGATTTTAAGTAAAAAATTCATTTATGGGACAAGTGCAGATATTTCAACTTTCACCAGTATCCGTTCTTCTCCTATTGAGCTGGTGTTTAGTGTTGAATGCTTTCTTTCTTGAAATTAATAAGTCGAGTATTGATAAATCATTCTTTCAGAGAAAGTCCTAATTAATATTATCCTTAAACAATGAAAATCTACATAGAAGCTCTTCAAGTTCTGACAGAAAAGACTGAGTGGTTCTGAAGTGCCTATATTCTACAAAAGATTCTGCATTACCTGAAGAAGGTCTTTTTGAGCTATGTCCCATTTCTTGATTCCATTATCTCTGGACCCACTGAACAGGCTGTCCCCTTGGATAGTTAGTGCTTCTATGCCATCATAATGAGGGGGCTCAAAGTTGTGCGTGGGACTCACAGTTCCGAGAGCCCCTTCAGTTACATCGAACATCTAAAAACACAAGCAGAAAGAGAATGATTACCTTATTTAACTTTCAAATAAACACCTGTGTGTATGCATT